ACCCCAAAATGCACAAATTTGACCCCAAAATTCCCCCAATTTTGCTCCTAAATTCATAGATTTGACACCAAATCCCTTTTTCACCACCAAATTCACAGATTTTCCCCCAAATCCCCCATTCGGACCCCAAAATTCATGAATTTGACCCCCAAAATACCATTTCATCCCAAAATGCACAAATTTAACCAGTTTTACCCCAAAATTCACAAATTTGACCCCAAAATCCCCCCGTTTCACCCCTAAATTCACATAGTTGACCCCAAATCCTCCAATTTCACTCCAAAATTCACAAATTTGTCCAAAATCCCCAATTTTACCCCAGAATTCACAAATTTGACCCGCGAATCCCCTAATTTTGCCCCAAAATCCCCCAGTTCTCCTCAAAATTCACAAATTTGACGCATTTGACCCCAAAATTCCCCAGTTTTGCCCTAAAATGTATGTTGAGTCCCTAAAATCCCCCAATTTCACCCCAAAATCTCCCATTTTGACCCTGAAGTCCCCGAGTTTCACCCCCAAACTTGGAGGCACTGGGGGGGATACTGGGAGGCAGTAGGGGGATATTGGGAGGTGCTGGGGGGATACTGGGAGGCACTGGGGTGGGACTGCTGGATAATGGGAGGCAGTAGAGGGATACTGGGCGATGCTGGGGGGATATTGGGAGGCAGTAAGGGGATACTGGGAGGCGCTGGGGGGATACTGGGTGGCACTGGGGTAGGACTGGCAGATACTGGGAGGCAGTAGGGGGATACTGGGAGGTGTCTGGGAGCATTGGGAGTCACTGGGGCTTAGTGGGAGCACTGGGAGGCACTGGGGCTTACTGGGAGGTGGCACTGGGAGCTACTGGGACTTACTGGGAGTGCTGGGACTTGCTGGGAGTCACTGGGACACACTGGGAGGCATCAGTGAGACTGGGAGCACTGGGAGGGTGTCTGGGAGCACTGGGAGGTGGCACTGGGATGACTGGGAGTCCCTGGGGCTTACTGGGAGGTGGCACTGGGAGCTACTGGGCCTTACTGGGAGCACTGGGATTCCCCCCCGCACCCAAAATTGCCCCTTTTCACCCCAAACGCAGACGGGGTGGGGATGGTGACGCGCATCACCTTCGCCTGGCTCCAGGGGTGAGCACTGGGAGGCACTGGGAGGGACTGGGAGGGGACTGGGAGGGCACTGGGATGGACTGGGAGGCATTGGGAAGGGACTGGGATGGATTGGGAGGGGACTGGGGGGATACTGGGAGGCACTGGGGTGGACTGGGAGGGGACTGGGAGGCACTGGGAGGGGACTGGGATGGACTGGGAGGGCACTGGGAGGCATTGGGAGGCATTGGGATGGACAGGGAGGGCACTGGGATGGACTGGAATGCACTGGGATGGACTGGGAGGCATTGGGATGGGACGGATGGATTGGGAGAGGAGTGGGACGGGAGTGGGATGGACTGGGAGGCACTGGGATGGACTGTGGGGATACTGGGATGGACTGGAAAGGAACTGCAAGGGTACTGGGATGGACTGGGGGGATACTGGGATGGACTGGGAGGGCACTGGAATGGACTGGGAGGCATTGGGAAGGTACTGGGATGGATTGGGAGGGGGCTGGGGGGATACTGGGATGGACTGGGAGGGGACTGGGAGGCACTGGGATGGAGTGTGGGGATACTGGGATGGACTGGAAGGCACTGGGAGGGTACTGGGAGGCGCTGGGAAGGGACTGGGATAGACTGGGAGGGGAGTGGGATGGGCTGGGGGGATACTGGGATGGACTGGGAGGGGACTGGGATGGACTGGGAGGCACTGGGAGGGCACTGGGATGGATTGGGGGGATACTGGGATGGACTGGGAAGGACTGGGGGGATACTGGGAGGCACTGGACTGGGCTGGGAGGGTACTGGGAGCACTGGGAGGTGGCACTGGGAGCACTGGGAGTCCCTGGGGCTTACTGGGAAGTGGCACTGGGAGCTACTGGATCTTACTGGGAGCACTGGGATTCCCCCCCTCCCCAGGACCCGCCTGGACTGCGAGGCCAAGCAATGGCGGTGAGGCCACGCCCCCTTTAAACCCCACCCCTAAGCAAAGCCCCGCCCTTTCCCCACGCCTCCCCGCGGGAGGCCACGCCCCCGGTTGGAGACCACGCCCCCCCACGTGACGCGGAGGCCCCGCCCAGGCTGGCGGCGGACGTGCTGAATGACGTGGCCCTCGTGCTGGAGCTGCTGGCGCCCGCCTGGCCGCGCGCCGGCCCCGCCCTCCTGACGCTGGCGGCCGCCGCCAAGGTGATGTCACGGCCGCGTCGCGTGACGTCAGCGGGAGGGGGCGGGGCAGTGGGGCGCTGCTGGGAGGCAGTGGGGTGATACTGGGGGATACTGGGAGGCACTGGGGTGCTGCTGGGAGATACTGGGGTGATGCTGGGGGATACTGGGAGGCGCTGAGGGGGGTTTTGGGGTATACTGGGAGGCACTGGGGGGATACTGGGGGATACTGGGAGGCAGTGGGGTGATGCTGGGGGATACTGGGAGGCACTGGGGGATCCTGGGAGGTGCTGGGGTGATGCTGGGAGGCAGTAGGGGGATACTGGAGGATACTGGGAAGCACTGGGGTATGCTGGGAGGCAGTAAGGGGATACTGGGGGATAGTGGGGTGGTACTGGTGGATACTGGGAGGCACTGGGGTGACACTGGTGCCCCGCCCCAGTGCATCGTGGGCGTGGCGGGCGGGGCCACGCGGGCGGCGCTGGCCGTGCACCAGGCGCGGAGGGACAACATGGCCGACGTGGCCGCCAAGGATAGCAGCCAGGTGGGGCACTGGGAGCACTGGGAGGGACTGGGAGGGGGACTGGGGGGCACTGGGAGGGGATTGGGGGCACTGGGAGGGACTGGGAGAGGTTTGGAGAGTAGGGGGAGGGACTGGGGGTGATGAGGAGGGACTGGGAGGTCAACTGGGATGGACTGGGAGTACTGGGAGGGCAACTGGGTTGTACTGGGAGCACTGGGAGGGCAACTGGTGTGGAGTGGGGAGTGAAGAGGAGAGACTGGGAGGGGACTGGGGGGCACTGGGAGGGACTGGGGGTGATGGGGAGGGACTGGGAGGGCAACTGGGATGGACTGGGTAGCAAAGAGGAGAGACTGGGAGGGGACTGGGGGGCACTGGGAGGGACTGGGGGTGATGCGGAGGACAACTGGGTTGGACTGGGAGGGCGACTGGGAGGGGACTGGGGGTGATGGGGAGGGACCGGGAGGGCAACTGGGATGGACTGGGAGCATTGAGAGGGCAACTGGGTTGTACTGGGACCACTGGGAGGGGACTGGGGGGGCAGTGGGAGGGGACTGCGAAGGAGTGGGGGAGGGACTGGGAGGCTAACTGGGTTGGACTGGGAGGGACTGGGAGGGACTGGGAGGGGATTGGGGGACAGTGGGGGCAATGGGGCGTTGGGAACGGGGGGGGGCCTCCGGCTGCCCCTCCTGCTGCTGCCGCTGCTGGAGGGGCGGCCATGGTAAGGGGCGTGGCCTCCGGGGGAGGGGGCGTGGTCCCCATGGAGGGGCGTGGCCTCTGGGAATGGGTGTGGTCTGTGGGAAGGGGGCGTGGTCTCAGGAAGAGGCGGGGCTTTGGGGAGAGGGAGGCTGCAGGAAGGGGGCTGGTGGGGGCGTGGTGTCTGGGAGGGGCGTGGTCTCCGTGAATGGGCGTGGCCTCTGAGAAAGGATGGGACGTCTGTGGGACTTGAGGGCGTGGCCTCGTGGAAGGGGGTGTGTTTTATGGGAAGGGGCGGGGTCTTGAGGGGCTCTGGGGGCGTGGGCTTTGTGGGGGCGTGGCCTCTGGTGGGGGGGGGGCTTTATGGCGCCTCAATGGAGGGGGCGTGGCCTGGGGCTCCC